ATTTGTATACTGCTGGCCTTTTCTCATCCCGACGTTATTAGAGATGATCTTTAAACGGGGGTTGTTTCTTATAAGCTTTTACCCGCATCAATTGAAGATACGTATCTTCCTTCTCACCCTTCCGAGTCCGCTGGATACCTTAATTTCGGACATCCCAGTAAGAGAGACCTGTGACCCAATGGTAATTTCCAATTCTATCTGGCGGTTGATAAGCATGAGTTGAGGATGTGAGAAAACGGGTTTGAGGTAGTTTTCTCGGTCTCATTGTTATAACTTCGCGTCCACGAAAATATGAAGATCAGGATATATGTATCTTTACTGCCATCTGATGGATTGTATGATATGCCAATTCCTTGCCTGTCAATCTCTCTCAATCTTGAGAATATGTCTGGCGATATCATATCGACAGTCAGTGTATATTACCAATCCGGAGCTCGCCTTTCATTCGACCCCCAGTAGAAAAGGCTCGCGCTAGCTTTGACGTATAGGGTGCCGAGCACGTAGTTGCTCTTCCACCTCAATCCAACTCTCTCCCCTGCACCTCCTCTTGACAAAGCACCCGTCTCCCCCTTGCATCACAGAACCCATCGTCTTTCCTCAATTGCCTTAATCTGCTACAGCAAAGACCATCCCTCTAAGAAGTATATAAAGCATCACTTTCTTTGTAAGTTGCTTCTCCCTCAGTTTCTGCTGCTCTAAGGCTTCTCGCATCTAACTTGTGCTGCCACGAGTGCAGTTGAACATCTGAAATGTCGGCACAGATTACCAACGATCAAGAACTCCAGCAGTACCCAAAGTCGGGATATTATGCACCTCCAAACACCCCCATCCTCGGTCCTGAGACTGAGCGTCTTGATTACTTTTATGAAATTTCGAAAGGACTTTATGCCTTGAAGCGTGATGGAGACGATAAAATGGATGAGTTGTCACTCGATGGTGACGCTGATGCCGAAGGTGATCATAAGATGAAGAAGTAATCTTCTTCCGCTCTAACCTTGGTATGTTCTTATCTCCATCTGCTATTCTTCTCGTTCCTGTCTTCATTTCGATGAAATTGAGCTAATGAAGATGAATGTCTCATGTAGCTGTTATGGCGTTCATTATTAGGGATTGGTGCCATTAGTCCGTAGTCTGGGATTTGGAGGCGAAGACTAAGGTTGGGATAAAAGCTAGAGTCGGAGCATAGTTAGTTGGCTACTATAAAACTACATGTACCGCGTAAGAAGAAAGAAATCACTTACCGCTACTTTCTGCTCATATTCAGATAATTTCCGTTCATACGACTTTAAGTCTTGCCACACCAATAATACCCCGTTAAAGATTTCCCATAACCTCGGACACACCAATATGTGTTTAATATCTGCCTAAGATAGAATTGTACGAGTCAGTTACTATATCTAAGTGCTTTAGATGATGAATTCTGTGTGCTCTCACCCAGGGCCGGGAGATCCAGGCCCGAATAACTCATGAGATGATAGATAGCATTACTGTAAAGTAAGTAATAGATCCCGACGAATGTGAGCTCCTTCTGGTTTTAAGGAGCAGCATAAGACTAACGAATCTACTAGACTCTTCCAGTGACCGCTATCATGGCCAAGCATGTTCGTTTTGATCTCGCACACGGACTTGATTGTTCTGACCTCCATGGCCGTCTCATAAGCCACTGCAACCTAATAATAATGGGAACGATCCAATAGTGTAGTGGTCAGCACGCTTCACCAAAAGACTTCAAACGTTATAAAGGGAGGAAACCTAGATTCAACTTTTAGATGGAGCACCATTTTCGATCTTGATCTGTGCTTTCGCTATGCATCGGAGATAGGAAGTGAGAGAAGATACAGCGCCAGCTGAAGAGCTACTTATAGAGCATTGAGGTCAGTCTTATCTAGCTCTGGGGCTAGCTTCTACCTAGTCTCATGGATACGAGCCTAGCTTTTATCGTATGCTTTTTGTTGTTGATACGTAGCTGGGTTAAGGCCATTCATAGGATATCACTCGGTTGCCAAGACCGCATACTAACGGCAACAAACATGCGCAGTCGGAGAAGCCTGCAGAACCACAATCACCTTTTGGCCCCTCCTAGGTTTTGGCACATACAAAGATCTAAATTGGGCAAAAAAAGTTGACCAACTGCATGTACCTCTAATTAAGGAAGTGGGTAAAAGAAAAGGAAAAAAAACATAAAGCTTACAAAAACCCGTGCCTACAGAAAAAAATACTTCTATTTCTTTGAGACAAAAAAATACCCTTCTCGTGAAGGGGACCACAGAAGCCGCAAGAAACCACAGAAAACCTAACAGAATCTCTCTACTCCTCTTAAGTCCCCCGGTATTACCTAGAGGCCTAGACGGAGGCAAAAAAATGTTTACTACGCCCTCACATAAATTTAGAACCAGAGCCCACGTATCAAAACCCGTCCACTCCACTCGGGCTCTCGGCTTAACCCAGGAACCGAAGAGGAATCGAAAAGAAAAAAAGGTTTGACTACTCCCCCCCCCCCCCCCCCCCCCGCGCGGGCCGTAGAGCGGAGAGTGCAAAGAAATAAGCCCACGAAATCCACAGAGCCCACAGGAACCAAAAAAGCCTCCCCGCTCTTCTCAGGCCCTCGGTATGAACCCAGGTACCCAAGAAGAACGAAAGGGACGACCTAACGAAGAAAAAGCCTCCTGAGCCCCAGGGTTTTACACCCAAGGCCCAAGAAGCAAAAATGATTATTGCACCCCCCACCCACCCCGAAGGGCAAGCAAGGCGGGGGAGCAAGAAACCCACACGATCCACCCCATCCGGAATCAGGGGAGGCGGGGGAGTCAGAAACCCACTCCTGCCCATCAGAGGTCAGGAGAGGAGGGTAGGAAATATACCCCAGAAGGGGAGGAGGCAGCGTTGCGGGCAGTGCAAGGGGATGAGGGGAGGGGGCTGGGGGTAAGGAGACACCAAAGGCCATCTCCCGAAGTTCGAAGGTAGACCCGGGATGCCTCCTAACTGAACGTGAAGAAAGGAGTGCCAAAGCGGCGGGGGGCTATGTGCTGGGTGGGCTCGGAGGGCGGGGGGAGGCAGAGGATAGTCACCGTCAGCTATCTTTCCGATGGTGGGGGCAGTAAACTGGCCGTGACTCCAAGTGAACAGGAAGAGGTGCGGAGTAGGAGGACCTTATATACCTTTCTAGCTTGGGAGTGATGTGAGCGTGTGCTCAGGGTTAGGTGGGTGGGAGTGTGTATCTACATGGACATGTACATACATGTACATAGTGATCTACATGTAGGTACGAATTGATGGGAGAGAGGTCACCAACATCTAACCTTGCGCCGTGCACATGATACGAATATTAGATACCTCTCCGGCTCTGCGGGAGTGGGGGCGTGTCCCATCTTAGAGTCTATAGATATCTTCGGGAATATGCTCTGTCCCTAATATAACAATTAATATTACGGAAACCTTGAAGCTCCTAATCACAAACTGGTATTCATAACCTCACCCGCACAAACCAAAAAAGAATATTAGGCAATATTACATGTAATTGTAGAGAATGGAAAAAAAACTAGTCTAGGATAGTGATGGACGTCTCGGGAAACCCACGAGACTTTCGGTCTCGAAAACGTCTTAGTATTGAGAGAAAAGTCCTGAGATAGTGAGAAATAGAAGAAACGAGGTTATCCTAGCACCATTAAGGAACGACATGGTTAATTCTGACAAGAACACTCTAACAGAGTGACCTGCTATAATCCATAAGCTATCCAAAAAAAAGCAAGAATTTCTCCCAAACTGTGAGTCCGGTCTTGGGGAAATGGGACACAGCAACACTAGTAGCATCGAGCAGAAAAAAACCGGGGGCTCATCACATTGGAAAAGAAAACTGTTACGAATACCAAATACAGGCTGCGCCTGGGGGGGGGGGGGGGGGTATTTTCCTTTGTTCGAGAACATTACTGGTGACGGCGGTTGGAAGGCGAGTTCCGGAATAAAATTTAGTACTGATTGCATTGATGCTAAATAACAGATACCAGCTACGCAAGTGTCATAGCCTACAGGGCTGCATACACGGACCAATCAACCAGCGCAAACCCAAATAACCACACCAAATGACCCCAATCACAGAATATCACTCGACATATCTACACCCCCCCCAAAACTGTTGGATATTTGACTTTTCGGGTGGTGGTGGTTGGGCTCGTACAGGTGAGCTGTCCGAGTCTGTCGTGTCGATACCTGCCACTGTCGACACCTAGACTCTTTGTCGAGTTACAAATTAAGTCATGATCATTTAACTACCCCGTCCTACTTTTTCAACACCAACACATACCGCTCAATTAATCAACCTAATCCGCGCCCCCAACACCAGTATACCTCTCCGCTACACACGACTATAAACATCCTATAAAGTAGACCAGCAGGCAGCACACACCAGGTCCGGGTTCGTACGGATAAGCTGGTACGGTTAGTCTGGCAGAATGTTTGCTATATACATGATCAGCGTCTGCAAAAAAAAAAAAAAAAAAGCCCACAGATCCTACAGCTACGCAGCCATGAAGAAGCTTCGTCGACCCCCAACCAGGCAGGACCAAAACTCACGCTGGGATTTCACTTTGGTGCTACTCTTTAGCTAGCTTTCCTGGTTTCCACAGGGCAAGGTGGAGGTGGGGAATAGTTTTGCTCATGCTGATTGTGTGTGTGTGTGTGTGGGTTTTTCACAGAAGAGACGACAGGTCAGAAGAAGAGAAGGATATCATTATCTAATACCGCCATACCCCACGCCTACATGTATGCCTACTAAATAAATAAAAAAAAATCTACAAAAGGAACACGATATAACAAAAACAAACCCGGGCCCTACCCATATCCTAACCAGATCCACAAACAAAACCCAGATCGAATCCACAAAACAAACCAAAGAAAGACCAAAGACCAAACACACAAGCCAGAAATCCATACGCTACACGCATGTACCTCCATAAGTCCCTTAAGACAAAAAACAAAAGCAAAGAAGAAACCCCACCTCTACTCTACGTCCACCACCCCCCCACCTCCCCCGCCACATTCACCGCCGTGCTCACCACCCACAGCCCAATCAAGCACCACCCAATGCCCCTACTCATCCACCACCCATTCGCCGGCACGGCCACCAGCAGCACCACCAGCGTCAGCAGCAACGTCGCCGCACTAACCACCAGCGACCTCGCCACCTCAATCTTATACGCCTCATGCCCCTCCCTCCCAGCCGTAATCCACAACCCCGACAGCCCCACGCCCAACAGTATATTCAGCATCGGCCCCCCAAAGCACGCCGACAGCGCCATGACCGGAAAGCCCAGTCTCGCAACAGTGATATCCGCAACGAGATCACCCAGCGAGTTACCCACGGCGAAGATGGTCAGCCCCAGGATGGCGTCGGAGATGCCCAGCACGACGCCAAAGGCCTTGAGCACGCCGACAACCTCGTTGGCGATGGCGCTGATCCAGCCGATCGAGACGGCGAAGCCCGCGAAGCAGAGGAGGTAGCGCGAGCGCGGGGCGTGCGCGGGGGTCGTGAATGTCAGCAGCACGCCGAGGGAGACGAGGCCGGCGATGAGCGCCCAGAGGATGGGCTTTGTGAGCGATGTGTCCGGGTCGTCGTCCCACGCGAACATGACGACCAGGAAGACCGGTGCCGTGAGGCACTGCGTGGCGACGAGCCAGCGGTTCCACGTTTTGGGGCCTATGGGGGCGTCGTGGTTGTGGTCGCTGTGGTGTGTGTCGGATGGGGACTCTGGGGCGTCGAGGACGACGATGGGCGTGTCGGTTGGTTTGGACTCGGAGGCGCTGTCGGCGTCGGCGTCGGCCTCGACGACGGGGAGGGTGATTGTTAGCAGGAAGACGGGGACCATGGCGATCACGGCGAGGAGCTTCTCTGTGAGTGATTTTTCGAGGAAGCCGCGCAGCGTGGGGAAGAGGGTTGCGGCGAGGATCTGCGGGGGCGGGAGGCGCTTGTAGGGCCACCAGGAGATGTGGCGCCATTGGGCCGTGGGCGTGCCGGAGAGGCCGCCGAGCGACATGGAGTCGAGGCTGGGGGGTGGGAGGCGGATTGACGCGGGCGGGGAGGAGCCGCGGGAGGAGGAGCCGCGCGGAGAGCCGAAGTGCCGGGGCGAGCTTATCTCGCTGCTGGGGGAGGGCGGGACGAGAAGAGTGGGGGAGCTGGCGGACATGAAGGGTGATGTTGGCTCTGAAGATGTCGGCGAGAGGCGGGCAGAGTTTGGGCGGCCTTCGTTGGCATTTGGGAGCGCAAGGAGGTCCGGGGAGGCTGTGCGGAGGGACAGTGACGGCGTTGTCTCGACGAAGAGGTTTGGTCGCGGGCTCATGGGGCTGGAAACTGTCACGTCGGGGAGTGGAGGCATCTGGCCAGACTGGTAGGCGCCCCAGTCAATGTGGGGTTGTAAGGCATCGTTGACAGAGACGGCGCGCAGACGGCCGTTGTTATCGCGGTGGGGGATGCTGGAGAGAGGTGCATTCATTAATGACCCTGGCGCTGAATGTGCGCTGGTGGCTGATGAGAGGAAGGGGTCGTCAGAGTACCTGCGTAGATGTATCGGTCTCCCTGCAAGGTTCTTGTTCTTCTCGAGATGGTGCAGAACAGCGCGGAACTGAGATTTATGAGTGAGTGATAAGCCATGACTGACAGTGCTAGGGTTAGGTTAGCGGGGGACTTACCTCGAGAGCACCAACCAAAGAGGGCCTGATGTTGTGTGGCGTCGCGGGAGTCATCGAGCGCTCCATTCGGGGCCGCTGGATTCTCATGTTGTTGCTGAAGGAGGCATATGCCGCCTGCTCCTGTTCCTCGGCGTCGTCTTCATCATCATCCACGGTGCCGCGCTCAAGGGCACTAAAGTCATGAGACGAGGCCAGAAGGCCGTCAGTCTCTCTCCCGACACCGCCATCCTCATCGTCATCGTCAACAAGCAGGTTTTCTTCCTCTTCAGGGGCCGTATAATGCTCCCTGACATTCCGCTCCAATCGTCTCTTCTTCTTCCTGCTCTGCGATACCCAGTGCCACGCCACAACGAAGCAGACATAGAACAGGTAGAACACCACCATGACCGCGCACTCCCACATCTGGATCTTTCCGTCGGCAAGGAAGAAGATCCCGAACAGAACCGCGACGATGAAGAACGACACGTCCCTGACGAAGCTCTTCTTGCCGACCTTGAACGGATGCACAATCGCCATTGAGCCCGCCACCACCGCAGCAATGAAGGACGCAGCACCGATGAGCTCCCCGACGGCCAGCGAGCCAGAGTTGATCTTCATGGCGGCAAAGGTCGAGAAGACGTCGGGCGACCCGTTGCCGAAGGCCAGGAAGGTGACGCCCGCCATGGACTCGGACATGCCGAGGATGTTTGCGATTGTCGAGAGATTGATGCAGAAAAAGTCAGATGCGGCGATACCAATTGTCTGCAGAAACCACGAATTAGCACGCAGCCTCCATATGCTTGCCGCAGAGCTCCAATTGCGGGGGAGGGGGGGGGAGGGGGAGGGGGAGGGGGAGGGTCGTACAGTGAACAGCATGATCAGCCAGGCACCCATGATTGCGAACGGCACCGCCGGGACATGTCCCAGCGTGCAGTAGTAGAACTCGAGGTAGTCGAAGAAGCCCACCTCCTCGTCGCGGCAGTTCTCGCGCACAAACGTGCACTTGTCTTTGAATTCGTGGACGCGGCGGCACTGCAGAGAAACCCGTTGATGAGCACATGTCTTCATATCTTCCCCTCTCTAGTATACAGCGGTACTCACTTCCAGATCCTGGAGACGGATCTCCTGGAGCTCTGCTTCGCTCCTTGCCCGCTTGACGAGCCCCCAGAAGCGGTTCCCATTGGTGGTGGTGGTGGTGGTGGTGGTGGTGGTGGCTCGCTTGACGGAGGTGGTTGGGGTGGTTGGCGCCGACCGCGAGACTCGTTTGCCGTCGACTGAGGAGAGCAGCAGGAGCGATAGCACCAGGAGGAGGAGGAGTACCGCGGTGCGGCAGCGCATGGATGGAGGATATCGATAGGGGAGAAGCATCATGGACGTTTATGATTGTAGAGCGCAAGGGACATCCTCAGGGTGTATGTAGTCTATCTAAGTGAAGAGCAGAGATGGAGGGGGGCGGGCAGGCAGGCAGGCAGGCAATAGTACGCAGAGTGGACGGTGCTAGTAGAGCAGAGCACGAGAAGAGAGACAGACAGGCAGGCGGGTCTTATTCAACGGCACAACCTGCCAGAGCGAGGTCTAAGCCTCGTAATAATACACAGAGTTAAACAGTGCCGGTGCCACCGCTAGATACAAGATAGATTAAGCAGATGGCTATATGATCTACTCTAATAGATAGACACAATTAATACTCGAGGTCTCTGAGCAGACGTCTTTCACACACACGCTCTGACTGGCTGACTGGCTGGCTGGCTGGCTGGCTGGCTGGAGAATGAGAACCTGATTGATTAATTGTGTTGCTGCTGAGCGTGGCACTATCCGGGCCAGTGAGTTTATCTCCCCCGTCCGTCGGCCCCGTCATCGACCAGGAACGAACTACAGACGGGAGAATTAGAAATTAGAATTAGAATTAAGTGCGAATGACGATCGGCTGTGGCGCGACGTGCAGCACAGCCCCTGGCGTTGCTGATAAGCTACCGCTATCGACTAGCGCCTGTGGCGGTGCAGCGCCACACCTCTTCTTCGAGCCGTTACACGCGACGACGAAAGTGCAGCAGGTGCTGGATATCAAATCATTCACGTCTCCCCCCTCCACGCCCCTCATTCTCGCCCCTCAACACCACACCACCACCACCACCACCACCACCCCGCCCACGATCACCACTGCTTCAGCTCAGAGGTGCTGATAATACAGCTTCTAAAAGAAGCTCTGTGCTAGTACAAGGAGGGCTACCTACATCTACATACATCCTAACATACATCTCATTTCCCACCTTCCAGGCACCCATCCATCCATCCAGCAAACAAACCAGCAGCCCCCCCCCCCCCCAAAACCACCACAATGCCCCCCGGCCGCCTCTCCACGGGCTCCTCCTCCCGCCGGCGCTCCGGCTTCGCCGCCACGCCCGCAAAGACCATCCAGATCCCGCTCAACGATGACACGGCCGAGAAGGCCAAGCGGCACAGGCGCCGCACCATCCTGCAGGACATGCAGATGAACAAGATCGCGGCGGCGGTGACGCCCGGCAGCCGCCGCGTCACCATTGGCGACCGCGGCGAGAGCCCGCTGAACACGCCGTCGAGGGGGGGCGCAGGGGGAGAGCTCGACGCAGTCACGCCAATGAGGAAGGTGCCCATTTTGGCCAACTTTGAGGAGTGGATGAAGTTGGCGACGGATAATGTTTGTGGCTACCCTTTCTGTCTGTTTTGTGTTTTGGGCGGGTGGTGGTGATGATAGTGGGCTAATTGGAGTGCGGGGACGCGGGGGTGGATAGAAAATTAATGCGACCAATTCGTGGAACTTTGCGTTGATTGATTACTTTTACGACATGTCGCTGCTGAAGGAGGGCGAGGGCATCAATTTCCAGAAGGCCTCGTGCACGCTCGACGGCTGCGTCAAGATCTACACGAACCGCGTGGACTCGGTCGCGACGGAGACGGGGAAGCTGCTCAGTGGTCTGGCCGACAGCAGCTCGCGGAAGAAGGGGCGCGGCGGCGGCGACGACGAGGAGGGCAGTGATGCGGAGGCGGAGGAGGACGGGGACGGGGAGGGGGTCAAGAAGCCGCGGAGAAAGGTATGGCATTACTGCTACAGCTAGACTGCAATTGCGATCATTACCTCTAGTGACAATGCTGATAGGCTATCTACTCTACTTTAGGCACAACGCTCCTCCGAGGCAACGCTCGCAAAGGATTTCCACACGCTACAGATCAAGAAGCTCGAGCTCGAGTTCTCCGTCGACCCACTGTTCAAGAAGGCCTCTGCCGACTTCGACGAAGGCGGCGCCAAAGGGCTGCTTCTCAACCATCTCAGCATCGACAACAACGGCAAGATCGTCTTCGACTCGTCCGACGACAAAAAGGCCGAAGAAGAAGAAGAAGAAGAAGAAATCAAGGAAGAAGACGAAGACATAGACGGAACCCCCAAGCCTAAGTCTGCCCCCGAAGAAAAAGCTGAAGAGCCGGAAGACGAGGACATCCCAATCGATATCTCAGTGCTTGCCTCCCGCTTCTTCCCAGATCTGAGCCGCCTCGATAGTCAGGATATCTGTCCCTCACTCAAGGGCTTCGAGTTCGGCGACTCTGCGGGTGCGCTGGATATCCCGTTCTTGAAGGCGCTTGAGGAGCGTGCGGACGAGGAGCTACAGGACGGTGATGACGGCGCGTCAGATAATGGCGGCGACATGGCGTTCGGCTTTGACGACGGCTACGGCGTCGGTGTCGAGGGCGACGGACTTGGCTTCGGAGAGGGCGGTGAAGTCTGGGCGAATGAGACAATCGCAGACGCAGCGGAGCGCTTCATGAGCCCGGCCAAGAGACCGACAATGATGGGTCTTGGAGGAGCCGACGGCGAAGGGGAGAGGTTCGGCGAGGTTGACGGCGATTACAGAGTTGGTTTTGGGGACTCTGCAGAGGGGATCTTGAGCTACTTTGATGAGGCGCTGAAGAAGAACTGGGCTGGCCCTGAGCACTGGCGCATCCGGAAGATCAAAGGTTTGCACCCCACCTCCTTTTCTCGGCGCAGAAGCGCTAGTAGATACTAACGAGTGACGCCCCATGAAGACAGCACCAAATCCAACGCCGCCCCCGTGCGTGTCCGCAAGGAGAAGGAAACCTTCGAGATCGACTTTATGGACCCCGCGGGCGACATCCCCGCCGACGTCTTCGCGCCCCCCAAACTCCGCAGCGCCACCACAATGGCCAAAAAGGACCAACAGCCCAAGTCCCGCTACCTCCTGCCCGACGACAAACTCTTCAACTCGCGCCAGCTACTCAAGCTCTTCCTCAAGCCCAAATCCAGCATCCAAGAGACCAAGCGCCGCCGCCTCACCCTCGGCGGGGGCAGCGGCCGCGCCACCACCGGCGCCGGCAACACCACAACCCACGACATCCCCGCCGACGCCGACCCCGCCGGCGAAGACATGGACGAGGAGTTCTGGGCAAAGGAGAACATGGCCATGGAGATCCAAGCCTCGTCCACGCCCGACCCCAAGGTCGCCGGCAACTACGACGCAAACTTCTTCCAGGACGACGGCATGGGCATGGGGCTCGGCGGCCTGCCCGACGACGACGACGACGACGAGTTTGCCGACGCCAGAGAGGCGTTTAGTCCTGGCCCCGAGGGCGCCGCGGCGCAGGCGGGCGCGGCGCAGAACGTCTTTGGCACGCATCAGTTCCCGCCCGGAACGTTTGGCGGGAACCTCGAGTTTGGCAGCCAGCTGGTCACGGGCGCGCGCAGGGTGCGCCCGGAGTATGTGCAGTATGCGCGCGTGGCGAAGAAGGTCGATGTCAGGAAGCTGAAGGAGAACTTGTGGACGGGGCTGGCTTTCGAGCCGCCCAGTGAGGTGCCTGGGAAGCAGGCGGCGCCGGTGCCACCGGCGGAGGAGCCGAGGAGGTTCACGAGGGTCATGAATGAGCTCCAGAGCGTGTACCCGCAGAAGACGATGGCCGACATATCGACGTCGTACTGCTTCATCTGTCTGCTGCATCTGGCGAACGAGAAGGGGCTGGTGATTACGGGGAGCGAGGCGCTGACGGAGTTGAGTGTGGTCAAGGATGAGAGTGCGGAGGGGCCGGATGGGTATTAGGTTTTTTTTTTTAGTTTTTTTTTAGGTCTTTTTGTATTTTTTTAACCTCTTTTTTTTTTGATGCGGTTTTTTTGAGAGTAATGAATTGAGTAGAAATGAGTTATAGCAGTTCGGATTTTAGTTTTTTTTTTTTCTGCATTTTTTTTTTGGGGGGGGGAGAGGGCGGGGTGGGGAGGGGTGGGGAGGGGTGGGTTATTGGTTATTGGTTATTCGAGTACTGGTATATCTTGTTAGTATCGGTGTTACGTTTCTTTGGTCGGGCTAGACTGTAGCATCTATATATGTGAGACTGCCTGTGAGGAAGAGAGTGATCGAAGGGAGGAGGTGGGTAAGGAGATAGTTACATGTAGGTATTGCTATCACAGCTTTTTTGCTGTCGGTGGGGGTATCCGTCTGCTGCCACAATTGGTTATACTTATCCCTTCGCCGCGTCTCCATAGAGATCGAGATGTGAGTCCGAGGTCGAGTGCTCCAAACATAGCCGCAATCTCACTCGCTCTTTTTCCCCGAGACTAATATCTCTCGGCCGGCGGGTGAAGGATCCCAGCCCAGTTGGCAGGGGACTCGCTGAACAGGGTGACGGATATATTCTCAGAGCGCATCGCAAGAGAGGATAATAAGGAAGGTTAGATTTATCCCACCTGGAAACCTTTGCGGCCTGCCTCAATCCCTTCAAAGCGTCTTGGCGTCGAGTGATGGCCCATGATTGGACACAGTTGGCCAGCTTCCAAGCTAGCCGAAACCAGTCCAGCACGGATAAACTACATGTATCGACCTTCTACCTCTATGTACTAACAAACTAATAATAACCAGTGCTGCAAGGCACGGAGGGTCTGATGTGGAATGCTATACGCACGAGAACCTAGGGGGTTGCGGGATGGGTGGATGAAATTAAGCTACTATCATGATGTATTGAATTGGATGCTCCGTTTACAGTGGATTCAGTGGCCGGGATCGAAACCTGGTGCGCATGTTGGCGCTATTGAGGGTCTATGATATATGGGTGATCTCTTCAGTGTACGTTGATTCATAAACGTTTGTCAACCAGCCCACCCACCCACCCAAAATTAAGGGCCGAATTAAATGTCCCTAAATTTTTCGCTTTAATAATATATATATTGGTTCTTGCCGAGTACATAAAAGGAACAAAAGGTACTGCAGATACGGTTGTATCTACTACCCCCACCCCTGGGTTGAACCATGGACCTTCTATAGACGTTCAAAGATCAGGTACAACCACTCGGTGTTCCGTAAGGCGAGTGTTAACCGGTAGGCCACTCGCCCATGTGTGTTAGCATCTGGAAATCGTTTTTGAACGCCAAATCTGTTATCGAAACCTTATCGTCTTATCCGTGCCAAGCTACAAGTAGATAAGATCTCGGCGATGATCAAGGCGTCAATTGCCCAGAACCGCTATACCACTCGCCCTTGTGTATTCTTGGTGGGAAATCATATTTAGCAAAGGTCGGTCGGAGGCCTAACCGTGGATTTAACACCACAACCGCACAAATACTTTACAAAACCGGTCGTCAGGATCATGCATGTTTTAGTCAATCGAAATACATGTGAGAAGCGAGGCTGCGGTGGACAGGGCTATTAGAATGTTTAACGTTAAGTAGAACACGTGCACCTGCTTATACCCAAACAATTTGACGATAGGTACATTATTGTTATAGTAGCTATATCTTCTTAAGTGTATTACTCTTACATTCACGTCTCTTCAATAAAACATAAGTACACACACAAGAAAATCACACACGCACAAGCCGAGTGATAGTTCATGACCAATATGATTTCCAGGCAGGGTAATTCACTATCGAGCCCAGTGCAACAAACTCCACGCGCGCATAGTACAACAAGTCCCCAACAAGCGTTGGCACGAACAACGACAAACCAACGCGTCTTCCACCGCACCGACCGACAGAATTAAAAAGGCGTCCCCCCCCCGAGATTGGACCCTTATATCATTCGCATCATCAAAGTCGCCCCGCCATGGCGCCCATAACAGACCTTGATTTCTTGAACGATGCGCTGAAGAACAAAACACGACTTCCGTACCTACCCCCCACCCACCATTCCTTGCTGGAGAATAAGTAGAAGAGAGAGAGAGAGAGAGTGTGTGTGTGTGTGTGTGCTAATTTCAGATGTGTTGACAGATCATGGAAATCAACATTTGCCCGCCTCACATCCCCAAACCGACCCTCACAAGCAACAATAAACTCCCTCATCGCCTTCCTCACTTCACCAACCTCCATTGACAGTCTCGCGCAATGCTACTCCCCCTTCCCCCGCCCCAGCGCTGCGTCAAAGGTGGACTTTGAACGCCGCACCGCCGCGATCAACTTCACGGCGGCAGACCTCCCCATGCCGGGGATCGCAGAGCTTAAAGGTGCTGCGCTGGAGCTTTCAAAAAGCTTAGAGATTGACGAAGTCTCGGCGCTGCGTATCGTGGTTCTTGAATACCAGTCGCGGCCTGCAGCTGCTCTGCTTGCGTCCGATGCGAATAGCGGGGAGGATGCGCCTGGCTCTCTCCCCACCCAAGTGGAGAAGCCGGTGGCGAGCAAGGATGAGGAGTTTTTCAGTAGGGTCAGTGTGTATATGAGCGAACGGCGATACATCATCAAGACTGCTACATTCTTGGTGAGAGCTGCCATCACGGCAGATCGGAAGGATAATGTCTGGAGAGAGGTGGGCAAGCGATTTGAGGTTGAGGGTATTGTGGAGAAGGGCGGGTTGGCGGGGAAATGCATCGATGGAATTGCAGAAAGATGGAATGAGGGACGAAAGGGAGGGGAAGGACTACCAAATTGGGTGAGGAGCAGGTTAGAGGAAAGCGCTTATCCAATTGCGTATAAGTGGGAGCAACAGGTACGAACTCGTTCCCGACAGATTAAGAGAGAGAGGGCTAATTTCTGTGGCATTACTAGACACTATGGGAGATTCTCCACCTTCTCCAACTCATCTTCATTCTCCTGTATAAATCACTGGAGGATTCCAGTGCGACCCTAGTAATCAAATGGTTCAATCTTATGAAAGAAACCGCCTTTCTTTCTCACAGAACATATGTACCTTTCCCAGAAGCATTCGAAATAATCAATCTTTATAAATTCACGACCCCTCTCACATCCATAATCTCAACAACTATCCTCCAGCACCCCAGAACCGAAAGACATCTCCAGGAAGAATACATCCGCACCTTCTCCGCCGAATCTTCAGCCACCCCACCAGCACACGGCCCTGCCCGCCGCGCACCACCCCCTGCAGACGATAGTAGCTTCTATATTGAAAGCCCCAAGGCAATTAAAGCGGTTACCTCGTGTTTTATAACAACAAGCTCTGCCCCAGGCGCTGCAATCCCTGCTCTTGCTTGGTCACTCATTCTCCTCGACATAATTTCCTTTGTGAATGCTGCTTCGCAGGAAGAGGATTCGGATCCGTTCAGCAATGCATCAGCCGGGAGAGGTGAACGACACCCCACAGTTGAGCTGTATGAGAACGTTCTCTCAGGGCTGTTTGAAGGAGGTAGCGCAGAGAAGGAAATTAAGAGACTCGCAAACAGCGTTGTGAGGGATGCTCTAGAGGCGATAGTACTAATGATCGAGCCTTCCGGTACTGTTGGTGACGCCTTCTTGGGCGTCAAGTTCTGGATTGGCAGCGAGGAAGATGGGAATCGGATGAAAAACGTGCTTGCATCACTTGTTCGGAAGGCGCTGCCGGATCTTAGTATCTCCGGAGAAGTGCTCATGACAGTACTATTGGTACATGAGTTGCAGTATAATGATCTTGCTTCATATATCAGCTTCCTCGATGACGAGGCTGAGAAGGGTGGTGAGGACTCAACGGGATGGACTGGTTCTGCAGCGGGGCGCTTTATGAAGCATGGTGAAGCAATGAGGTTCCTGAGGCGTGCGAAGAATAGGTTTCCATATGAACCTATACTCTTCTTGAGGCTTATTCGCGCATTGGCCTTCGAGAGCGGCGAGGTAACAAAGGATCTGGTCAAAATGGATACCTATACTCAAGTCTTACCTCCGGGTTTTGAGGATTATGATGTTGATAATGAGGATAGCGACATTGGGAGAATACAGCTTACGAATGATTTGCTAGTGTTTGCCCCCCGCGACGGAGGCGTGTTCGAGGATGAGTATGCACCTCGAGGAGGCATTGTAATACCCGCAGGGACTATTGGAGAAATCACATCCACGGGGGGCGGTAGGCTTGTCGTTGCATGGAAACATGAATATAATGCTCTCCCGTTATTCGGTAGAGTGCTGGAATATGCACTTATCGGCGAAGGTTCTGACTCCGGAGCTGGAGGGCTCATGGCGGGAGAACTGGGGACGGGCGAGACTGCAACCGAGATAATTAGCTTGTTGACAATGCTTATTGCGTCTGGGACTGCGAGACCTGACAAAGCTGCTGAGGGCTTTGATGTTGCACGGATTCTCGAGGAGGCAAGCGATAATGTTGGAAGAAGTCGCGACGTAGTCTCAATTATATTTGATCTCCTCGAAGCCGGGTTACAGGACACTGCTCAATCGAGCAATACCGGCAAATCAACAGAATTCATCGTAGCCGCCCTGCAGTTCGTTGATGCGCTTATTAAGATTATTCCCGGACGAGTATGGCCATTTATTGCACGGAGTACCATTCTCGAACGAAATGGTCGTGGGGGTGCCTTTGTGAGTATTTTGTCGGCAGTGGAAGTTGTGCGTGGTGATTATGAATTCACTGTCAATTGCTTGAATTTGTTCGAGCACCTCATTGAAGAGGCAATCCAGAGTAGTGTTGTGAACATGGGTGGAAGCCGTTCTCTCCAGCTTGCATCGATGGCTTCGAATACTACCACAAGATCCGGGGTTAGCATGTCGGTCCAGAGAGAGATCTTGACTAGCTGGACCAGGGTCACTGTTGATGTGTTCGAGAGTTACAGAGGATGGAAATATGTCAATCGCGAACAGAGATTAGATATTGGTAGGCATTCGCACAGCCTCATATATTGTGCGATTCTAACGGAGAGTAGGTCGACGTATTGCAAGGATATTCTCAGCGATTCTTCTCCAGGTCTACGGTGTTGATGACTCGACGGATATCAACGCGAAAGTCACAAATGTCTTGGGACCTAGCGCTGAACACCTTGTAAAGGTTTTCCTTTCAGAAAGTGAGAGTGAGCTCCCTATGGAACCGATCATTGGCGCCATTCACGACGGGCTTGAGACTCCCGAGACAAGCTTGCATTTGAGATCTTTGAATGGATGGATCGAGCATAGCATCGCGATAATAGGATTCGCAGAGGTTTGTATCAGGGTTAGAGGGTACCTAGATCTGCCCTCTTCGCATCTAGAGAAGCAGATTTACGGTGTCACTGCATCTTTGGCAAAACTTTATGCCACACATGATCGGTATAGACAACCTGTTCTCGAGCTCTTTGAGAGTCTTGTTGTTGCGTCTGGCACAGCGCCTACTGAACCCCCATCTTTGTTGGGTCATCTTGGAGCAGAGTGTGCAAGCCATTTTGCCACAGTATTGAGAGGCCTTGATAAGCCATTCGACGACGAACTCCTTGAATCACGGATATGGGGCTTCGTGTCTGCTGTTGTCAGCAACAAACAGCAAGGGCTTTCTATACTACTGCTGCGCGGCGAGACCCTCTGGAAGGGCAATCTCAGTACCCGGGATAAAGCTCCAAAGAATTCGCTGTTATCGGTTGCGCTGGACTCATTGTCAGACATTGATAAATTATCTGCTGGAAGATCATTGGCCATGCTTGAAGCTGTTGCCCTCTCGCAGAATTTCTGGAGTCTTGCTATGGAGGACTTGGGCAAACACCCGAAGTTTATCAAAGCCATCACAAGCCACATTGAGTCTCTAACAATTGAATTCCTCCCCGCGGATTCAAAAGAGATCATCACGGAAAAGGCCAACAAGACTGCTGTTGCTGGATGCATAGCACAACTCATTGCGATGCATCTTCATAGCAGGCAACCATCTGTACGGGAGCCAGGTTTTATCAAGAACTTAATACCAAAACTGAGATTCTACTTTGAGAGTGCGGTCAAGATTAGTGGTTATAGGGCGTCGCTGCACGGACATTTGCAGAAGAATTTTGAAGAAAAATGGCCAAGTCTAACTTTGATGAAGTTGAAGAAGACGGGATTGAGGAGAAGAGAGTACGGAACGGGATACTTTTATGACATGGAGTTGGCGGCGAAGGTTTTAGGTTTTGATCCGAGCTGGGCTGGGAGAGCGGATGGTTACGCTAGTGAGGTGGAGCAGGCAAATCTAAACCTGTCTTTGGTCGATTCCCAGGTGGTGAGTTTAATCCTTAAAGACACGAACGGTTAATTGTTCACTAATACCCACCAGGTTCTCTTACGAGCATGGCAACTGTTGGCTATAGAGTTGTGTGATTTTGTTTCAACCTCAAAAGAGTTAGAACAACCCTTAATAGATCTTGTGGAGAGCTGTTTGGCGGCAAATATCGAGTCTGGTTTTCGAACACCAATCTTCACCAAAATCATCTGCGAGCGGGCAGAGTTTGCGTTTGTTATCATGCGCAGGCTCCAACAATCCATCTCCACAGCCAATTCTGCAAGCCACTTCGATCGTATCCTAGATCTCGCATGGAAAAGCATTCTTCCAGGCCCAGAGTTTAGACAATCTCTTGCGACTGCAAATGTTGGCTATTATCGACCATTGCTGCGGATCCTTTACATTGCACTCCACTCAAATTCCACCAAGGAACAACTGTCAACAGCGATGGCATACACTATTCTTGACATTCTGAACCTGGTTGTTACCAAGGGCTTTAAAGATCTTGCAACGGCTGCCCATGACTATCCCGAGACTACAAATCCTGATGACATTGCGCTCATTACGGCGATACTGCAAGCTGCCTTAAAGCTGAAGGGAATCGAGATAATCCACAGCGGATTAAGTACCCACATTCACGAAAATGGCACAATCAGAGTTGCTACCACGCTATTTTCATGGTCAGAACAGTTGGCAATCGACGGCGACCCCGTGTATGGAGAACTGAGTGCTTTGTTTCTTCTTGAACTATCTTCGGTGCAAATTATTGCTGAACAACTTGCGGTCGAGGGGATACTTGAACTTTTGGTCAACAGCTCCCTGTCAAACAAGATCCGCCAAGGTGTATCGCCAACTTCTGATCCACGATTATACGCAATCTGGAATAGAGGGCTGCTGCCTATTACCCTCAACCTCCTTACTCATATCGGACCGAGGATCGCTAGGGAGGTTGTAGCATTCTTGCAGTACTTTGGGCCACAACTGGAAAGTGCCGTTAGTGCATGGCAAAGTCACACCATGGTAACTCTATCAGCTGTTAACGAGGCTACAACGATTGTGATGCTCATGACAATATTGGCAAGAATGGGTGTTAAGGTTGACTCAGAAGGAAGTGCGCAAGGACTTAAGTTCGACAAGGCAACACTTTGCGAACAGGTGGATTATCTTCTTACCCACAAGACCTTCCTCAAGACACTTATCATGCCGACAAATCTGGAGGAAGAGGAAATGATGAAGAGAGGAGACTCAGAGGATAATGAGCTGACCGAGAAGGTCTTGAATGACATGGCGATATTACAGGGGCTTCTATCGGATGATGAAGCAGAGGAGTAGGGTTTGATGTGATCATGGGGTTAGGTTAATTTTTACCATTAAAGCTGTTTTTCTTGATTTCTGGGAATGTGTATCGTTTTGTAGTTGTTGTACATTAGAGCAAAATATCAGGAGCGGATGAAGACACATATATATATGACGATGATGTAGGATGCGCAATAGGCGGTCAGGATCATGAGGAGTCACTCGATGAAATGTGGTTAAAAATAACTGGTGTTAGGCGACTAGAAAGGAGGACAGATATACCAGAATAACTCGTATAAGATTCCATATTCATAATCCATGGTAGCTACACGTATCATCATACCTAACCTGCGCTCGGAGGAGAAATAAAACATCTCAGCTGTGCAAGAGCTGTAACATGTTGATCCGTTTCGGCTTAGTTACCCTGTCTTGGCACACAGCACAGACCAGTTCACTTATCGCAGCCGCGTCGCTCAGTAACAGTCTCCAAACGAGCTTCCCCGCCACATCCCCCACCATCCAAAAATTACCAAACCCTGTCTTCAAACACATAGCTCCAGGAATCACCGCCAAATATGTCTGACGACGATTTTATGCTCGAATCTGACGGCGAGGAAGATACCGGAGTATTTGACTACACATCCGGAGAGGAAGATGATGACTCTGGGAACGTCGATGTCGAAAACAGCTACTACAACGCCAAAGGGATGAAGCAGACCGACCCACAAGCAGCTATCGATGAATTTCTAGGAGTTGCAGCATTGGAGGCCGAGAAAGGAGAATGGTATAAATGCCTTGAAGATGGCGGATGGAGCTTGAGGACCCGGCCAAGACTGATAGCTTGCCTGGCGATTTAGGGGATTCAAAGGCTTAAAGCAAGCTATAAAGCTAGAATTTAGATTGAAGCAGCATGAAAAGGTAGCGAAACTTTCTGCCGATTTTGGCGATTGGAGGAAGCTCACTGATTGTACTTGTGAATTATAGGCTGTAGAACACTATGCCGAGCTCCTAACATACATACGCTCCGCTGTAACACGAAACTATTCGGAGAAATCCCTCAATAATATGCTGGACTTTATCTCCTCATCGAATGATCCTGAAGATATGCCATACATGGAGAAGTTTTACGACATGACCCTCGAGGCGTTTCAGGGAACGAACAATGAGCGATTATGGTTGAAAACGAATATCAAGCTAGCGAAGCTATGGCTGGATCGTAAGGAGTATGGCAGATTGACCAGGAATGTCAGATTGCTACACCAAGCATGTCAGAAGCCAGATGGTACAGACGACCCATCAAAAGGAACATACCTGTTGGAGGTTTATGCTATCGAGATTCAGATGTACTCTGAAACAGGAAACAACAAGAAGTTGAAGGTAAGGAGTCGCCTAGAAGCTGTAGAGCCCATAGAGCTAATCGGAGTGAAGGTTTTGTACAACAAGTCTCTACGTGTCAGATCGGCTGTTCCCCATCCAAGGATCATGGGGATCATCCGTGAGTGTGGAGGGAAAATGCACATGAATGAAGGTGAACATCCAGCCCTAAACATTATTCACAGCTCTTAGTTCTCACCTCTTGATTAGAGAATTGGAAGGACGCCCAAAGCGACTTTTTTGAGTCTTTCCGTAACTACGATGAAGCAGGATCATTGCAGAGAATCCAGGTCCTGAAATATCTTGTCCTGGCTAGTATGCTCATGAAATCAGAGATCAATCCTTTCGAATCCCAGGAAACAAAGCCGTAAATACCCCCCGGATTCTGGTTCTGATAGTAGTCTGACACATCTTTTAGATACAAGACCGACCCTCGAATCGTCGCAATGACTGATCTTGTAGAGGCCTATCAACGGAATGAGATTCACAGATATGAATCAATTCTCGAAAAAAACAAAGCCGATATCCTCTCTGACCCATTTATTCGCGAACACATAGATGAGGTTACGCGTAATATCCGTACAGAAGCTCTGCTAAAACTAATCGCCCCCTTCACTCGCTTTACACTCGATTTCATCGCACGCCAGCTTCGTATTTCTGTCCCGGAGGTTCAAGAGATCCTTGGCTTCCTCATCCTGGATAAGAAAATCCGAGGGAAGATCAATCAGGAGAATGGAACCGTGCAGATTGAGAGCAACGTGGATGCTGAGCGTATGCACGCCATGAAGGAATGGTCTTCTGCACTAGAGAGACTATCGACAACCTTATTCAATGACGGTGAAGGTTTCAAGTCAGAAGACAATACTCACCTTGGTGGTAGTCAGTCGTCAGTTATTTTTGAAACTCGGCGATAGTTTGTAAAAAGGTATAGAAACTAGATATCAAACTTATGAAGGGTGGCCTACGTCGGAATTAATAGCCACCCCCATTTGAAGGGACTCTCTATGTGATGAATCGAAATTTCTTTGAAATCATTCTATCACAGCGTAACGAATAAAAGTTGTAACCATGTAAAAGTGTAGAACTTTCTCTTAACTATCATCTCTCATGGATTTTATATGTAGGTACACTATTATTGTCATGTTTATTCAGCACGAGCCTGCCTGTTTAGGATATCGTGGGTTCATCCCTCGCAGGCCGAGAGTAGTGTGGTCCATGAGCCGGCTCAAGTCGAGCCGGCATATAAGCTCGAGCTGGCTCGGCTCGTGGGAGGCAGAGGCTCGCAAGGCTCGAGCTTTGGTGACAGGCTCGTAAACTGGCTCGAGCCTGTGATCAATGATATAAAAAACAGGTTATCTGTACAGCAAGTATAGTAAAATGGCAGATATAAGCTTCATTTCATGGGTTAATACCGTGAAAAAGATTAATTATTTAAGTGAACACTCTAGTGGGTAGAAATCCCCTTTTTGCTTCCTTTATGGCTTCTAGAGCCTAGTTCAGAGTGAGCAAACTGAGCTTGAGGTAAGGCTCGAGCCTTAGAGAAAACGGCTCAAGCCGGCTCAGGCTCGCTGGAGGGTGAGGCTCACTGGGCTCGAGCCGAAAGTTCGAGCCTAAAGCTCGAGCCGGGCCGGCTCATGGACCACACTAGCCGAGAGGCTTAAGGAAGACTATAATTGCATCGGCCAGTCATGACAGCTAATAACAAACTACATGTATTTATCGTGGGCATCAGGTCGGATTTCATCCAGTTCCCATAAGCAAACACAAGAGGCATCAACAATACCCCTGAGAGCAAATCCACTGTGCTGTTTCTACTACAGATGATAGCAGTGAGGTTTTGAGAAATTCACGCATAATGGCATGGTAATAAACAACGTCCTTTGACCCTAGAAAGAAAAATCAAACTAGATCCTCTCATACAATTGATCCATACGTGTACTCTAGTGGAGAGGATTAGACGCTGCGGAGTGGGGAATTGGATTTAAAGTTAGCTAGATACTTGTAGCAAAGTAAATATTTTATCTCAACAAACAATTCATCGACTCTTGGAACCTTAGGCTTGCTTCGGCACTTTATGCCCCCCCACCCCCCGGGCCCTCACGGTCTTAGAGTCTATGCCATTTCTACTTACATTTAGTCTGTGTGGTGGGATATACCAATAGATATGTTCACCAATGACAATAGGATTGCTTTGAGGAACGAGTGATTTCTGGTGGAACAAATACTCCACTTCGGGTTTCTGGATCTCGTGAGCACTAAAAATGCTTAAGGAGTATAATAATAGTTAATTGACTAGCCATTCTTAAATTGGTCATCATTTGGGAGACGATCTCAGCTTATGGCAAATCCTAAGACACAGTAAAACGCCTCTAGTTCATAGCAATAAGCAGCCTTATCACGAGCTTAAAAAAGATCATTCACAAACGAACCCAAATACTAAAAAGCCGAAGAAGAAGAAATTCTATTCCCCTCACTCCCTCTCCAGCACATCCACATCCAGCTCCTCACAGACCCTCAATACCGCCCCCAAGCTCTCAAAGATGCCATTCGTCGATACCCTCAACATCCTCGCCGTCGTCGCCTTGTAGTGCACCAGCACCACCGGTGAAGCAGCTTTATCGCTGCTGGGGACCTCAAACTCCCGCTGCACGCACGGCGAGATCTCCTTGTCGACAGCGAGCGCTCGCTGGATGGTCTCGGCAATGCGCCATGACGGTACCGGCAGTGAGATGGTACTGGGGGGCAAACGTTAGCGGCCAGAGTTTTGCGCTGGGCTGAGCTGGGGTCTCACAGTGAATGCGGGAATTCGGGATCGGGCGCGGGGGCGCCGGTTTTGTCTTCCATGGCCGCTTTTTGTGGGGTTGTGGGGGGGTATAGGGGTGAGGTTGAAGGGTAGACTTGGCGGACTGGAGGTACAGTACTGTAGTTGAGATGGTTGGTATAAGGGTTAATATTAGTGTTTTACGGTTTGGTAACAATCTCTCTAACTAGTCTCCACAAAGCCACACTTTATTACTCCCCGGAACGCTGATGCAGAGGACAGTTTACCCAGTTACTTGCAGTAGAATGTAGATTATTAGTCACATAAGGTGTAATTATAAAGGCTTGAGTCTATAACGTACATGTAGTTCTAGTATATATGGGTTTCCTCGCTCCACGGATATGCGTATGGGTTATAAGTACGTACAGACGGTAAGAATCTCCGGGGAGACTGCTGTCTGATGATGTTTACATTTGCATCAAAATAAGTTATGGGAAGCCGTGAGACTTGATTTTGGGTTGCTCAAGACCCCCAAAGCACCATCCCAAATGTCAATGATAAAATCCCCACCCCTACCCCCGCCAAGGCCTATCGAGCCTCAATCCATTTTCCACACCCCACCATACACACCACCCACACCCCACTACATCACAAAAAAACACAACCAAAAACCACAATGAAGATCCTCACAACAAACTACATTAGCTGCGCCGTCAAGGCCTGCAAGTCCACCTCCCTCTCCTTCCCCCTGCACTTCCAAGACGCAGTGCTCGTCCAGGAAGAGGTCGACTTCAAGCCCGAGTTCATCACAAACATCCTCCCCCGGATCGAATGGGAGGCGCTCAAGGTCACCGCCGCTGAGGTTTGGCCGTACATCCCAGAGAGCTGGCGAACGTAAACA